ACGTTCTAAAGACTCCCAACAAACTGGCGATACAAGGAAGGTGCCTTCGCTGAAAGTCAAGATTACCTGGTCCGGCTGGCCGTCCCCAGATTTGGCTGCATGAGGCCCCGGAAGGCAGCTGTCCACCCACCCTGTGGGGAGTGCCTCTCACTGGCCAGCAGCTATGCCAGTTCCCAGAATGCATCATCCTCAGGCAGATAAAGTAGGAGCAAGGTGGCGACTTGGCTCAGGTCCCTGCAATAGCCCACCTCCTGACAGAACCAGAGTCACCATGGAAGGACATCACCTAGGAGGGCTGAGGTCACCTGGGAGTACTTATGTCATTGAAGAGGGCAGAGGTGACTAGGGAGGCTTCCTCTGAAGAATAATGCTTCCTCAGGATGCAAATTCATCTCATGACAAGAGCCAGGTCCATGGACACTTCAGCAACTTGTCCAAAATGTCTCCCGAGAGCACCGTCCTGCATGCAACCCGCCAAGCTCCTGGGCTTTGAGGGCAGCCCCAAAAGGAGGACATCATTTCTTGTTCAGAGAACTGGTGGCCAGGCCCAGGTGCCACCAGAAGTCAGGGGCGTGTCTCCTTAGTGTCTCACTTTGAGACCACCCCCTTTACTTGGAGGTTTATGCCAGCAGTGAGCTGGAGTTCTACCTACTATATCCTCATGGGTCACAAATATGGACTTTGAAAGAAGCAACAACACCCCCACCAGACAGCCATGCCCTTGAATATGAAAACAGGGGCTGGGAATGTCACTACCCAGGAATACTCACCGGGTTATGCTCTGAATATGCCATGAAGATATAGAATAGTTCCCGCTGCCTAGGAAACAGAGAAAGGGGGCTTTTGTTTCTTTTGTGCAGATGCTGTTAGTTTCATTTTGTCTACAAATCCCATTTCAGGTTCAGATGATTCATCAGATAAGCAGTAAGCTCTTCAGGCCTTCGACTGTTTAAGATATGTTTCAGTAAAATCCATGTCTGTGAAATAGAAATATTCCAGTTGTATAGCTGTTGATTGATCATTGATTTTTTTTTTTCAGTTTGCACACAAGACAGTTCAGTCTTTGGGTGTACAGTTTCTCCACAGTTCTAAACCAATGTGCAGTTTCCCAACCACCGCTCCAGCCCCTCCTGGAGCGACTCCTTCATCCTCCAAGTCTCCAGGGTGGCCCCTATGCAGCCTGCCTCTCCCTGATCCATCAGCCCCTGGCCACCCAAACCAGTTCTCAGACACTATGGTTTGGCCTTTTCCAAAATGGCCTATGAATGGGAATCCTACAGTGGTAGCTTTTCGGGTCTGGCTTCTTTCCCTTAGCAAAATGGATCTAGGACCACCCACGTTCCTACCGGCATCACTGGCTCTTTCCTTTTTCTCACTGAGTCTTCTTCCGTTTGAAGGGAAGACCAGCTGTCATCTTCCCATTCTCCTGCTGATGGTCATCCCCAAAGGCTCCGTGTGTAAGTGATGATGAATGAAGCAGTGAATGTGGCATGCAGGTTTCATGTGGACGTCAGTTTCCAAGTCATTGGGTTCAATATCTGTGACACTTAGGGGATGTGTGGTGTAAGTCCACTGAGCTTTGTGAGCCACTGCCCACCTGGCTGCCAAAGTGGCTGTGCCATGTCACCTTCCCAGCAGACCTGGATGAGAGTTTCCAGGACCCCAAATCCCCTTAGAATTTGGTGCTGTTAGTTTTGCCTGGGGAGGCTCACGGGCCCTCAATCCTGCTGCAATCCCGTGGGTCCTACCATGGGTCCCCATGGGTCAGGGAGAGCACTTTTCCCCATTGTATATGATTTTCTTTGCTACCTTCTGTCTCCTCAGGATTTTCCTGGGTTCTGGCCCCACGTGTTCCAACCTGGCCTGTGTCTTGGAACCTAGGAGGTGCTCAATCCATGGTGCCAGCTGCTCCTGTCCCATGGTCCTGGGGCTGTAAAGGACACATTCAGAAGGGACACCGACCCAGCAGCTCTTTTCAAAACAACAATGGGGAAACCAAGAGCCCCCCCACATCCAGGTCTGTCGGGAGCCGGGGCATAGAAGTCCATGTGATGAATCTCCAGGAATGGCGAGGTCCTCCCTGAGCCAGGGCTGGGCTGGGCATACCGAGTGCCCCCAGAATAGATGTTTTCACAGACAGCCCCCCAGGACAGGCTGTGAAAGGACGAGGCGCCCATGGTGGGGGAGCTGACCAAATGGGCCGCTGGAACCAGGTTGCTGAGCCCAGAGGGGACTGACTGTCCCCCTTGCAGAGGGTCTTCCTGCCAGGTGAAGCCAGCACGGGTCTGGGTGCAGAGGACCCTTGCTCAGGTTTGGCTGAAAGGAAAACAGATACGGTTGACATCTCCAGTGAGCCCATGCAGGCCTTTCCGGGCTGGGTCCCAGCTGCCTGGGTCTCTGCAGTCCTCAGAGGCTCTATATAGCCCTTATGGTCCGACACTGAAGACACGCCTGTAGTCTGCTGATTCCAGAGGGAGGGGAGTGTGCCACCTGGGATGAGGAGGCCATCGGGGCATGGCAGGTGGCTCCTGGGACTGCCCCCCAGGGTTCAGGCTGGCTGGGGGCTTCCTGCCACATACCCTCCTCCCAGGGCTGTTGGGCCTGGGCTACAGCCCCCAGGCAGAACTCAGGTTCTGTCACCCACCCAGTCCCCTTGCCACCTCCCATGGGGACCTGTCTCCAAAGTGGGTGATTGGGCCTGGATGTGGGTCACCATCTGCTCTCCTGGACTGCCCAGTCCATGCCAGCACTGATCGTTCCCACATCTGGCTGAACTCTGGGCTCTGGCTCTGGGTCTGGGGTCTCACCTGTGTCCTGTTCCTGAATTCTCTGGGGGTCAGGGACATGGATTCCCTCATCTCCTTGGCTCAAGGCTTGTGGTCCTGGTACCCTTGAAGGGGTGTGCAGGAGTGAGGGGCCTCTGCTGCTCTCTGAGGCTGTCAGTGCTCACAGGGAGGGACGGGGGCTCCCACAAATGGGTCTGGCTCCTCCGGTGCCCTTGAGGGCCCCATGAGGGGGACAACAGGTCACTATGGAAAGTGGGAGGGGGCTTGTTGGAGGGTCTTGCCCACATCCCCCTCCTGCGTGCACAGCCCGTCCAGTCCACACGCACTGAGCGCCTGCCCTGAGGACCGGTGGGCCTACTGTACTTTCTTACAGTCTAGGAGGAAGAGGAGGAAGAAAGGCTGAAGAGGGAGGGCCAGGTAGTAGGGTTGGGGGTCCCAGGCATTCCTTCATTACTGACTTCCTCAGAGGGGGACTCGGGAGGGGAGCTGGCACTGGGGCCCACCTGGGGATGGCAGGTCCTCGTGATTCTTTGTCATTTTTTGCTTCCAGGCCCACAGATGTTTTAATACTTTGTCGTCATTCAACACCCAGCTATGGTAAAACAGGTCCCAAAAATGTGCCCACAGGCCAGACCTCGATGATCTCAGGAGGCGCTCTAGGGATAGGATGGGCATCAGGCCAGGAGAGTTCCCTAAGAGGGGTCAGAGCCCATACCCCATGGCCACTTCAGTCTCCCACTGGGCAGTGCCGGATCCTTTTGTGGCCACCCAGGGGTCCAGATGTGCACAGGAGGCTGTGGCTGGGAGGCGGCCTGGGCAGGGCAGTGCTCACCACACTCCCGACTTTCATCTGGGTCATGTGGGGGATGGGCTCAGTGACACTGTACCCTCCCAGCCCACCCGGCCAGACCTCCCTCTGGGCCAGAACAGAGGATCATGAGGACAGTGTGAGGAAGTTGGGGTCTGACCCCAGTGCTCCCCAGGTCACAGGTGGACTTATTCCTCTGAACCTTGTGGATGCATCTCATCATGGGCATCAGCGCCTGCTCCCCCTCCATGAGATACACATCCCACAGGTTCAAGTGCACTGAGCTTTGTGAGCCACTGCCCAGCTGGCCGCCAAAGTGGCTGTGCCATGTCACGTTCCCAGCAGACCTGGATGAGAGTTTCCAGGACGCTGAGTGCCCCCAGCATTTGGTGATGTCAGTGCTGCCTGGGGAGGCTCACGGGTCCTCCATGCTGCTGCCCTCCCGTGGATCCTACTGTGGATACTCATGGCTCAGGGAGAGCACTTTTCCCCATTGTACATGATTTTCTTTGCTGCCTTCTGTCTCAGGATTTTCCTGGGTTCTGGCCCCATATGTTCCAACCTGGCCCATGTCTTGAAACCTGGGAGGTGTTCGGTCCATGGTGCCAGCTGCTCCTGACCATGGTCCCTGGCCTGTAAGGGACACATTCAGAAGGGACATAGACCCAGCAGCTTTTCTCAAAATGACAATGGGGAACCAAGAGCCCTCAACATCCAGGTCTGTCGGGAGCCGGGACATCAAATTCCATTCCATGTAGCGCCAGGAATGGCGAGGTCATCCCTAAGCCAGGCTGGGCTGGGCACACCCTGAGTACCCCCAGAGTAGATGTTTTCACAGACAGCCCCCCAGGACTGGGTGTGAAAGGACGAGGCGCCCGTGGCAGTGGGGCTGACCAAATGGGCCATTGGAACCGGGTTGCTGAGCCCAGAGGGGGCTGACCGTTCCCCTTGCAGACGGTCTTCCTACCAGGTGAAGCCAGCACGGGTGTGGGAGCGGAGGACCCTTGCTCGGGTTTGGCGGAAAGGAAGACAGACGTGGTCGGCGTCTTCAATGAGCCCATGCAGGCCTTTCCGGACCGGGACCCACATGCCTGGTCTCTGCAGTCCTCAGGGGCCCTGTGTGGCCCCTGTGGTGTGACATTGAAGACACGCCTGTAGTCTGCTGATTCCAGAGGGAGGGGAGTGTGCCACCTGGGGTGAGGAGGCCATCGGGGCATGGCAGGTGGCTCCTGGGACTGCCCCCCAGGGTTCAGGCTGGCTGGGGGCTTCCTGCCACATACCCTCCTCCCAGGGCTGTTGGGCCTGGGCTACAGCCCCCAGGCAGAACTCAGGTTCTGTCACCCAGCCCCCTTGCCACCTCCCATGGGGACCTGTCTCCAAAGTGGGTGATTGGGCCTGGATGTGGGTCACCCTCTGCTCTCCTGGACTGCCCAGTCCATGCCAGCACTGATCGTTCCCACATCTGGCTGAACTCTGGGCTCTGGCTCTGGGTCTGGGGTCGCACCTGTGCCCTGTTCCTGAATTCTCTGGGGGTCAGGGACATGGATTCCCTCGTCTCCTTGGCTCAAGGCTTGTGGTCCTGGCACCCTTGAAGGGGTGTGCAGGAGTGAGGGGCCTCTGCTGCTCTCTGAGGCTGTCAGTGCTCACAGGGAGGGACGGGGGCTCCCACAAATGGGTCTGGCTCCTCCGGTGCCCTTGAGGGCCCCATGAGGGGGACAACGGGTCACCATGGAAAGTGGGAGGGGGCTTGTTGGAGGGTCTTGCCCACATCCCCCTCCTGCGTGCACAGCACGTCCAGTCCACATGCACTGAGCGCCTGCCCTGAGGACCGGTGGGCCTACTGTACATTCTTACAGTCTAGGAGGAAGAGGAGGAAGAAAGGCTGAAGAGGGAGGGCCAGGTAGTAGGGTTGGGGGTCCCAGGCATTCCTTCATTACTGACTTCCCCAGAGGGGGACTCGGGAGGGGAGCTGGCACTGGGGCCCACCTGGGGATGGCAGGTCCTCGTGCTTCTTTGTCATTTTTTGCTTCCAGGCCCACAGATGTTTTAATACTTTGTCGTCATTCAACACCCAGCTATGGTAAAACAGGTCCCAAAAATGTGCCCACAGGCCAGACCTCGATGATCTCAGGAGGCACTCTAGGGACAGGGTGGGCATCAGGCCAGGAGAGTTCCCTGAGAGGGGTCAGAGCCCATACCCCATGGCCACTTCAGTCTCCCACTGGGCAGTGCCGGATCCTTTTGTGGCCACCCAGGGGTCCAGATGTGCACAGGAGGCTGTGGCTGGGAGGCGGCCTGGGCAGGGCAGTGCTCACCACACTCCCGACTTTCATCTGGGTCATGTGGGGGATGGGCTCAGTGACACTGTACCCTCCCAGCCCACCCGGCCAGACCTCCCTCTGGGCCAGAACAGAGGATCATGAGGACAGTGTGAGGAAGCTCCCTCAGGTCAGTTGGGGTCTGACCCCAGTGCACCCCAGGTCACAGGTGGACTTACTCCTCTGAACCTTGCAGATGTTTCTTGTTATGGGCATCAGTGCCTGCCCCCACTCCATGAGACAGACATCCCACAGGCGCAGGGTGAGGCCAAGAGAGAGCTGTGGGGACAGCAGGAGTGGGAGCACCTGGCCCTTCCAGGCTGAGGCTGGAGCTCAAGCTGAACCCACTGGGGCTTCAGTCCCCAGAGTCAGTGACCCTCCCCATGAGGGTGGTCTGACCCCTCCGGGAGGCTGGGTCAGACAAGGTCTTGCAGCTCCTCATAGAGGGCACTCATTTTGGTGGGAAGATGGCTTCTGGAGAGAGAGGCTTGAGGCCTCCCTGAGCCCTCCCACATCAGATCCTGGCCAAGTCTGCCCATGAGGCCAGTCCTCAGCCCCAGCCTCTGCTTTGGGATGATCCTTCTGGGGCAGAGGGTCTTGCTGTGTGTCCTGTGGGGACCCGAATGTGACTCCTGTGGGCTGGGGGTGAGCTGGACCCCCCAGCTGGGGAGGCAGGGCACTGCATGGCAAGGAGGATCCCTGAGACTCCCTGTGCCTCCTTACCTAATCATTGAGCATCTGGAGAAGCCAGCCTAATGAGAAACCCTGTGCGCCTAGTCCTTCCTTGTCCTGATGGGAGGAACAAGGTGCTCAGGGCCCCCTGGGCTGCTCTAGAAACCTCCCTCTTCCAGGGCCCACTGAAGACCCCTCGCTAAGTGCAGAACACTGGGCGGTGTCCGGGGCTCCCCACAACACCTTCCCCTTCCTGCACCCCCGGGGGACACATTGCCCTTACCCTGCTCTGCAGGAGCTGGGTCCAGGCCCTGTGCCTCTGTCACCTCCAGGGCTGGGAAAAAACCAAATCCCAGCCCACGGAGGACCCTATGTTCCATGTCAGGACCTGGCTGCCACTCAGCCTGTCACCAGCCCAGGAGGGGCTCCAGCTCCCCTGCTCCTCCAGCCCCACGTGATGCAGGGCCTCTGGAGAAGAGTCCAGAGGACCATAAACTCACCAGATGCCACATGGTCTTGGGTTGTGACGAGGGCGCCACATGCTCCTGATGATCTTGGAGCCCCTGGACTGTCCCACCATTTGGGCTGTGGAATCCTGAGAAGCCCCCAGCCCATCATGAAATCAGAGCCCTCTCCCAAGATGTGGAGCCTTCAGCTGGAAGAGCTGGGCAGCTGCAGACACCCCCAATCCCCGAGGCCTCCCACCCTCCCATCTGCTGACCCCACCATGCCGCCTTGGCCCTGGGGAGGAGGGGTGGGAACATCCCCTCGAGCCTGGCTGGAGGGGCTCCTGGAGGCCTCTTGGGCCAGGGTGCTGGGAGAACAAGGCTGACTTTGAGGCCAAGACAGAAGGTGGCCAGAACAGAGTGGGTGCTGGGCTTCGTGGTCGTCTCCTGGAAGTGGCGTCGGGCCAGAGGACACGGGATGGGAAGATGCTGCCATTTGGGCTCAGTAGGCCCATTCGTGGGGACCAAGGGCAGCTGGAGCCCAGGCAGCTGAAGGGCAGGAAGACTCTCAGGGAGGGGAGAGTCAGCTGTACAGAATCAGAGCTGGAGGGCGTGGCTCCGGGACACAGAGGGCAGCCATGGGGAGGATGAGATGCCCTCTGCTGATGGGAATGAAAGGCGTCTGACTTGGGCTCTGGGGGTCAGCCCCCAGCTCCTGTGGGACCCTCAGCAGAGACATCCTAAAGGCTCCCAACAAGCTGGCGACACAGGAAGGTGCCTTCACTCAAAGTTGAGATCACCTGGCCAGGGTGGCCATCCCCGGGTTTGGTAGCAAGAGGCCCCAGGGGCACCTGTCCACCGTCCATCTACCCTGCGGGGAGTGCCTCTCACTGGCCAGCAGCTGTGCCAGTGCCCAGAATGCGTCCTCTTCGGGAAGGCACAGCAGGAACAAGGCGGCCACCTGGCTCAGGTCTCTGCAGTAGCCCACCTCCTGCAAGAGCCAGAGTCACCGTGGAAGGACATCACCATGGAAGGATATCACCTGGGTGCTGAGGTCACCTGGGAGGACTCATGGCATTGGAGAGGACAGAGGTGACTGGGGAGGCTTCCTCAGGATGCAAATTCATTTCATTTCACGACAAGAGCCATGTCCATCAGGCACTTCAGCAACTGATGAAAATGTCTCCTGAGAACACCGTCCTGCGTGCGACACCGCCAAGCTCCTGGGCTTTGGGGCAGCCCCAGGAGGAAGGTGTCATTTCCTGCTCTGAGAAGTGGTGGTCAGGCCCAGGTGACACCAGGAGTCAGGGCCCTGACTCCTTTGTGACTCAGTTTGACCCCTTGAGACTACCCCCCTTGCTTGGAGGTTTATGCCAGCGATGAGCTAGAGTCATGCCTTCTATATCCTGATGGCTCACAAATACTGACTGGGAAAGAAGCTACGACACCCCCAATAGACACCCACGCCAGTGAATATGGCAATAAGACCCGGGAATATGGCCATGAATATGGGAATATGGTCACTGCCCGGAATACTTACCGGATTATACTCTGCGTAGGCCAGCAGGACATGGAATAGTTCCCGCTGCCTAGGAGACAGAGAAAGGGGGCTTTCGTTTTTTTTGTGGAGATGCTATTAGTTTCACTTTGTCTACAAACCCTAACAACAAATCCCATTTCAGGTTCAGATGATTCACCAGACAAGCAGTGAGCTCTTCAGGGCCTTTGACTGTTTAAGAAATGTTTCAGTAAAGTCCACATCTATGAAATGCAGATAGCCCAGTTGGACAGTGAGTTGACTAATCATTTTTGCTTTGATTGACTTTTTTTTTCAGTTTGCACACATGCCAGTTCAGTCTTTGGGGGTACAGTTCTGCCACAGTTCTAACCCAATGTGCAGAGTCTCCCGGCCACCGCTCCAGTTCCTCCTGGAGCGACTCCTTCATCCTCCAGGTCTCCAGAGTGGCCCCTATGGAGCCCGCCTTCCCCATCCGTCAGCTCCTGGTCACCCAGGCCAGTTCTCAGTCCCTCTGGTTTGACCTTTTCCACAATGGCCTATCAACGGGAATCCTACAGTGGTAGCTTTTCGGGTCTGGCTTCTTTCTCTTAGCAAACTGCATCTAGGTTCCACCCACATTTGTGCGGGCATCACTGGCTCGTTCCCTTTTCTCACTGAGTCTTCTATTTCAAGGGAGAACCAACCTTCCTCGCCCCATTCCCATGCTGAAGGTCGTCCCCAAAGGCTCTGTGTGTGAGTGACGATTAATGAGGCAGTGAATGTGGCATGCAGGTTTCATGTGGATGTCAGTTTCCAAGTCATTGGGTTCAATATCTGTGACACTTTGGGGACGTGTGGTTCAAGTGCATTGACAGCACCAAATGCTGGGGGCACTCAGGGTCCTGGAAATTCTCATTCAGGTCTGCTGGGAACGTGACATAGCACAGCCACTTTGGCAGCCAGTTGGACAGTGGCTCACAAAGCTCAATGCTGCCTTCTGTCTCCTCAGGATCCTCTTGGCTTCTGGCCCCACATGTTCCAGCCTGGCCCAGGGCTTGGAACCTGGGAGCTGCTCGGTCCCTGGTGCCGGCTGCTCCCTAGGCCAGGAGAGCCCTTGGCAGCTCTGTCAACCCTGCTGGGTGACCCTGGCTTCTGCTTCTGCTTCTTCCCCATCCCTCTGGTTCACCCCGTCTCTGCTAGGGCCCTGTGCACAGCCATATCACTCCGAGAAAAGAATGTGTCTTCTGAGTGTCATCCTCACATTCAGGTCGATCTGGTGCACGTGTTGACAGGACCTCTTCCCCTTCTCCTTCATGAGCTGCAGGGCAGGGCCAAGAGGAGGAAGCAGCCTCAGAACAGACTGAAGACTCCTGCCCCAAACGACAGTCATCCCACAGTCAGCACTTCCAGAAGGAAGGAAAGAAGGAAGATTTCCCTCTGCAGAAAGCTGCTTTTTGGCTTGTTTCTGAAGCCGGCGAGGGTCCGCAAAGCCGAGCTCATCTGTGGTGCCTATGTCGCCGTCTGTGCCCAGGATGTCATCTGGCCAGCACACACACTCCCCAAGCGGGGCTTGATATTCGTTCTCTGCAGCTGGAGACCTGGGCCCCTGACGTGGCCTGGCCTGTTTGTTGTGCTCTGGCTTAGCGTACCTGGTATTTGCTGGGGTTTTTTCCCTTGGTATCATCAATGTTGAGGAGGACTGACCACACCTGGCCCCGGATATTCATGAAAATGTCCTTGTAAACTCGGCGAACCAGCTGTGGGCAGAAAACGATCTTGTGACTCGGGCCAGGGGTGACCCCCGTGAGGACCAGAACCTGAGAATTCTGTAAATCATTCATTTTGGCCCCGTGATTCCTCAGTAGAGGTGAGGTCAAGCTGGGGCAGGGTCTCCCTTCCCAGGACTGAAAGAGGAAATGGGCACTCAGAGTCCTGAACTCTGATCTGGACCTGTTCCTTCCTTCGGGTCACCAGGAGGCTGTCCTAGCCCTGAGCTCCGGGCGGCCCCAGCCCTGGATTCAGTTTCCCTTCCAGCAAGGTGACGCTCGCACCAAAGGGCAGTAAAGCTGGCAATCAGGCCTGCGATCCTCTGCATGAGGACAGTGTGCAACCTGCCCTCTGAGAGGCTGAGGGTGCCTGGCTACAGCCATGAGTGCCTGCCCCCTGTCCCTGCAGAGAGTGGTTCCGGGGCCTCTCCCTCCACACGTTACTTTTTCGCTGTTCTTGTATTTCTCCCATTCTCCCAGCATTTCCATCCACTTGATCTTGCTTCTCAGCTCCTCCTGAATTTGCTGTCAGAGGAGGAATGCTGGAGTTAGCAGACCCCCCAGGCTTCTCAGAGCAGCCCATGGATGCTGAGTCTTGGGTTCTGGAGCCCTGGTGGGACCCAGCTGGAAGGAGCCAGGGAAGGGCAGATCCTAAGGGCTGACAGCCTTTGAGCTAATGAGCGCCAGTGGGCTGGCCTTGGGTCCCCGGGATGTGCCTTCCTCAGGCCACAGACACACCAATCATAGGTGATGTCTCAGCCTCTAGGTGGGGTTCTGACACAAGTGGGCAGCCACCCCCAAGCCATGACTCTGGTTCTTACTTTGGAATTCCATCAAACTGCCAGAGATACAGTGACTTGGGGTCAGATCCAGCAGGGAAGCTGCCCCTCCCAGTGACAGCATGTTGCTACCACCCACCACTGCCCAGGCCTGCTGCCTTCTCTGCCTCACTCACCACCTGCCCAGTCCCCCATCCCTGGGTCAGGCCCCCCATGCATCAGGATCTTACCTTGGTCTCCCAGGAACTGACAGGGGGCAGCTCCGTCTCATTGTAAGGAAACCAAGCAGAGCTGAGGACCTGCACTGGGCTTGGAGCCGTCGGGTCTGGGAACCGACCCCCAGAAAGAACTGGCTCTGTCCCATCCAGCTCAGGGCTCAGCCCGGGAAAAGGCACAGGGGAGGACGAGGGCTTTCCTGTGGGGCTGACGCCTGGGAGGGGCCAGAACCTGGGAGGATCCGGAGTGCAGGGCTAGCCTGGCCCTGGTTACTGGAGCCCCTGGTGTTGGGGGGCAGTGAGGCTACACAATGGGGTGCCCCTACTGGCCTGGAGGTGGTGCTTTCTGCTGGAGCTGAGACAGGTTGGCCCTGAGATGGGATGGGGGCTGCCCAGGGTGGGTGACCCGGTCCTGACAGGAGTCCCTTCAAAGTGATCATGTGATATGATCACTCTGGAACCGCTGGGGTCTCCGGAGCCTAGCCTGAGACCTGTCCAGTGCACCCAGCGTGTACTTGGGACCTATCTCACCCTGCATGCCCAAGGCCCTCACAGGGTCTGACCTCCCAGCGTCCACCTGCCTCTCCCTGCAGCAGAGCCTTACACCCTGCATTTTAGAAGTGGCACGGCTCATAAGCTCCCTCCACCCTACCTTCCCCGGGATCCTCTGTCTCTCCATGCTATGATCCCTGAGGGATGGGCGCCAGGCTGGGCTCCTCTCACCTGGCCGGGATCACTTCCCAGCACCAGACCCAGGCTCTTTAGCTGCCAGCTCTGCTGCCGTTTTGGCCTCACCGTGAGATGCCCAGAACAGGGCCCTGCCGGTCTTCTCCCTCATTCCCCATGGGGACAGGGAGGGCTATGGCTCCAGGGAAATGGGGGAGAACAGGGGCTGGTGGGCCCTCAGAGACCTGCTGGACAACAGCCTCGAGGCTGGGCCAGGTGTCCCCCCGCCCTGTGGCCACAAACCTTGGATCTCACTGGGGTTGTCTGTAAGTGGACAGGGCTGGACCCTCAGGCTGCCCCGCTCCTCTTGTGCTAACTTGGAGACGGACCTGCTGAGAGCCCAGGACCTGATCTAACCCCCTCTCCATTCCCACCCGCTCCCTGGATGGGCCCGTCTCCTCTGGCCTAACAACCTCAGGCTGGACCTGCAGGGGAGCCAGGGAGGAGGTCTGACCCTGGAAAGGAGGTTGGCCTGACCTGGGGAAACATGGCCTCAGGGCCTCAGGAGGTGTTTTCTAAAAGCAAACCCACCCCTGAGCTGAGATAGGTGCTTTAGGGGCCGAGGGGAGCATGGAGGACTCACTGCACAATCCCAAAGTGGTCCGTGCGGCTGTGGATTTCCACAGGCTCAGGCTCCATGTCCGCTGGTAGCCCAGCTCGGTGTCCCTGCAACCCAGAGAGAGCCTTGCTGAGTGCAAGGGCCTGGGGGTATTGGCCACACATTCCCACCCTGTGTTCCTGGGGAGCCCGGGACCCATTGACCAGGGCGCACTGTAAGAGACCTCCCTCCAGTGAGAAGATTGACCTGTACCTTCTTTTTTTTTTTTTTTTTTTTTTTTTTTTTTGAGATGGAGTTTCACTCTTGTTATCAAGGCTGGAGTGCAGTGGTGCGATCTCTGCTCACTGCAACTTCCGGCTCCCGGGTTCAAGCAATTCTCCTGCCTCAGCTTCCTGAGTAGCTGGGACTACAGGCCTGTGCCACCATGCCCAGCTAATTTTTGTATTTTAGTAGAGACGAGGTTCACTGTGTTGACCAGGATGGTCTTTATCTCTTGACCTCGTGATCCACCCACCTCGGCCTCCCAAAGGACCTGTACCTTCTCATACTTCATAATGATGTCCTCTCGCTCCTGTACCAGTATTCTCATCCTCTCTCCCCTGTCCATCCTGTGAAACAAAATTGTCTGAAGATCACAATGTATCTGAGAGCTTCGGAGAACACCTCAACCACTCCCGCTGGGCTCCCAGATGCTGGCTGGCTGCATAATTCCCATTCGACCACTGCCAGGTGAAAAGAGCAAGAGTGGGTCTCTTCTCAAGGTGTGCAGAGAATGTGTGAATCCTTCGCATCATTGTGGTGCATCTTCCTAGAGAGACAAAAATTGTAATTTTGAGCAATTTATTATTTTGATACATTAATAAAGAACAGACATGGATATGCTACAAAATATGAATGGGATTTATTTATCTGTTTATTTTTGAGACTGGAGCCTTCCTTTGTTTCCCAGGCCTGGAGTACAGTGGCACGATCTCAGCTCACTGCAACCTCTGCCTCCCCGGGTTCAAGCTCTTCTGCAGCCTCAGCCTCTCCAGTAGCTGGGATTACAGGTTCACACCATCATACCTGGCTAAGGTTTGTAGTTGTAGTAGAGACCCAGTTTCAGCATGTTGGCTAGGCTGGTCTCAAACTCCTGACTTCAAGTGATGTGCCCGCCCACACCCCCTCACATCCGGCCTCTCTCTAATTTCTTACAACTGTGTGCAAATGTATAATTAACTGAAAACAAAAAGTTAAACATATATAAAGTGTTGATCAATACAGCAAATGACAATAACAAAACCCAATTTCAATTTAGATTAAAGCTACATACCTTAAGAAGTATACAACTGTGAAGCAGCATTTTAAAAAACCGATAACCAGTCTGTGGAAATACATTTCTATCTAAATAAACTCAAGGCTTCAGCCTACAATTTTACAAAGAAATGTAAAATTACAAAGCCAAGCATTTCACACAAATCATCAGAAGGTCAGTACACTCCATCATTTCCACTATCTCCTTTCTGTAAGATCTGAAGACATAATTTCCCTTGTATCTGTTCTCAACCACAGAGCTCAGAACTAAACCAGCTAATAAACTAGCCTAACTGCTATACTTTAGGTAGAAAATAAACTCATTATAATTTGTCCTCAAGGGCAGTGTTCCTGAGGAACTGGAGTTGAGATGGATGCTAAGGAACAACTTCCTATGTCATTACAGATAAAGACAGTTCTTTTAAGTTGTTTGTGGCACACAGATGGAATCCTTGTTCTACGTAGTCAATACTGCTTAAAAGGTATGCTTTCTAAAAATGACATTTTGACCAATTTAAGTCATATTTTACATGTAATAAAACCATTTTCTATTTACATGAATCATATAAAGTCCTGTAAAGCAAACACTTATGCCTCCATTTATTTCCCACTTTTGGCACAAAATTGGATTTTCATAGAATAGGTTTTCCTAAAAGAATAAATGATCACTGAAATTGGTCATTTTATATATTTGAGATTGACAATTGGTCATTTTATATATTTGAGATTGACAACATATCCTCATATTATGGTAATTTTACAGCAATATTGTCAAAGAAAACAGTGTTTTCTGGATTCACTTGAAAATGAAACCAACCTAAGAAAATAAATTATAAATCCAAATATCCTACCCTATACAGGAAGGGGTTTTTCTTCCCATTAAGTCCCCTTACATATTAGTTATCTTACTTTTATTAAGTCTTAAAATATTCTCTAAAGCATATTTCAAAATACAACATACGTGAGTCCAGAGGATCGAATAAGACGAAGCATGAGATAAAAGTGGAAAAGTAAATCAGGATGACATTGCAGCAGCAGTGTTCAAAAGACAGCGACATGGGAATTGAAAACCCTGAAATCTCAACCGTGGTTCTGCCCTTCAATTTGCAGTTAACCATGGACATATCCTAAAGCCAAATCTGAATAAATATTCTACCAAATAATATAAAAGGCAACTCACTCAATAACTTTTCGTACTGATCCCATGAGATTCTCCCTCTCCTGTATTGCCAAAAAGGTTGCTTTGGTTTTATGAATTCCTGTGTATAATCCTGAAATAAATCAGCATCCAGTCTCAACAGAAGCTAATTATGGATTTTCATCTCACTGAACCAGTTATGTATCGTCATCACACTGTAAATTTCTGTAAAGAAAACTGCTATTTAAGAAATCAAGTTAACCAAAGGTAAAAATAGCTTTATAATTACTTTCCTGAAAAGTGACCACCTTCTTTCAAATGAGAATAATTCAGTGCTGGGAAACAGGGCCATGAAATCACTATCCTTTCTACCTCCTAGTACTTTGTCTTATGAGGTAGAATTAGGAAGAAAAAAAATCTTGGACAAAGTAACTTCAAATAGCCTTGGAGAAAACTTGAGGGGCTCTTTGTACTTGATAGTGCACATATTAGAGCTCATTTTCAAATCTCATCATTTTGGAGCTCTCCCAAAAAAATTTAATTTCTAAACTAATCGAAAAAGAACAGAAACAAGAGAATTGTAAAGAATAAAATAATCTTTAAACATTTTCCCTTATTTTTGTACCACTGTATTTTCAAAAGATATTCAGAATATTCATTATACTTTTAAAAAAATTCAGAGACGGCCTGGTGCAGTGGCTCATGCCTGTAATCCCAGCCCTTTGGGAGGCCGAGACGGGTGGATCACCTGAGGTCAGGAATTCGAGACCAGCCTGGCCAACATGAGGAAACCCCGTCTCTCCTAAAATTACAAAAATTAGTTGGGTGTGGTGACAGGCACCTGTAATTCCAGCTACTCAGGGAGGCTGAGGCAGGAAAATTGCTTGAATCCGGGAGGCAGAAGTTGCAGTGAACCGAGACGGCACCACTGAACTCCAGACTGGGCAACAGAGTGAGACTCCGTCTCTAAATAAATAAATAAATAGAAAGTCAGAGAAGTAGATAAAGAAGAAAATCAAAATCGTCTCCCATGGTGTTCCTGTTGACCTTTTAAAAATGAAAGAAATGTATAAACATGGGGGAGAATATTTTAAAAGCACCGAAAGAAATAAAGGTGAATCAAAGGAAAACAAAACATTCTGCTCCAGATCTCATAACTATAGTCATTTTGTGTTTTCTTCCAGGATTTTTTTTTTTTTTTTTTTGAGATGGAGTTCCAATTTGTCTCCTGGGCTGGAGTGCAGTGTCGTGATCTCTGCTCACTGCAACCAGGTGTCATGGCACATGCCTGTAATCCCAGCTACTCTGGAGGCTGAGGAAGTAGAATCTATTGAACCCAGAAGGCGCAGGATGCAGTGAGCTGAGATTGGGCCACTGCACTCCACCTTGGGTGAGAGAGAGAGAGACTCCTCTCAAATAAATAAACACATAAATAAAATAAACTGCCTTCTAGAAAGATTACATCAATATGTGAGTGCCCTTTTTAAATGTTTACTCTTGCCAATAATGGGTTATAAATGTTTCAACATTTGCTAATCTGACAGGTGAAAAATCACCTCTTTGATTACTGTATTTTAGTTAGAAAATATCCCTGATTATTGATCACTCATTTTATTTGTAGGCCAGTTTATATTCTTCATCCAGTTTCCTATTGTCTTTTTCTTATTTTTATTATTTCTGTCTGAGTAAATGAGTTAGTCATTTGTTATGGCTTCCAGTATCGTCTTACTTAGAAAGTCCTTCTCACTCAAAAATTTATAAATTTCACTCATGCTTCATTTTCAACTTTTCTGGTTTCTTTTTCTTGGAACCACTTGGAATTTATTCTGGATGTGAGGATTGAGATAGAATTGGGTTTTTAAAAATCTCTGAATACGTAGCCAATGGTTACAGTTCCATTTATTGTATAATTTCTCTTTGCTCCACTGATTTTAAGCAACATCTTTCTCAGAAACTAAAAATTTCCATCCACGTTTGGGACTGTATATGAACTCTATTCTGTTGACAGGTTTGTTTTGTTGTTTCTCTTCCCTAGAATCAAACCGTCTTAACTATTCCAGCTTCTCAACAGGTTTTAAGATCTGGTACAACTAGGAGCCCTCTACCTCTTCATTTTCAGGTTGTTTTTCTTGGTTGTTCTTGACGTCTGCGATTCCAAATGAACTTTGGTGGTATGCTGTCATTTATTTTTAATTAAACAAACAACAAAAGAACCCTGCTATTTCTATTGGGATGAGAACATTCAGCTTAAAGTCTTCCCATCTAAAAACTGAGTGATTCTTTCCTTTGCTTAAATCTTGTTCTCTGTCCATCAGTAGAATTTTGCACAAACAAGTGCTACACATTCCTTATTAAATTTATACCTAAGACTTTTATAGAGTCTTCCATTCTGTTTTCTAACAGTTTATCATTTTATGTAGGGAAACTATTTGCTTTTATGTATTCCTTTTGTAATCCACCATCTTACTGAATTTGTTTTTAACTTTTTATCAGTGAATTTTCTTGGGCAGTACTAGACATATAGTCTTATCCTGTCCCGTCATAGAAATTTTGCCTCTTGCTTTACATCATTTACATCTCACTTCTTTTTGCCGTATAATTGCAGCATCAATAACTTAAAAAATACTGTTAGATGTTTGTGGTGATCATGGGTATTCTTGTCTTGTTTTTTTCTTCAGTGGAAGTGATTTTAAGTACTTTACCTTTAAACACAATGCTGACTTTTAACCTGGTATATGCATTTTTGCATTAAATAAATATCTTCCATTCTTATTTTTTAAGAAGAGTTTTTAAAATTAGAAATAGTTGCTGAATTTTCTCAATATTAAAAATATTTGCAGCTCGGTACAGTGGCTCATGCCTGTAATCCCAGCACTTTGGAAGGCTGAGGTGGGTGGATCGTCCATGCACAAGAGTTAGAGACCAGCCTGGGCAACATAGCAAAACCCCGTGAATACAGGAGTTAAGAGACCCGCCTGGGCAACAAGGCAAGGCCCTGTGTCTGCAAAAAACTTTTTAAAAAGTTAACCAGGCACGGTGGCACGTACTTGTTCCAGCTGCTCAGGATGCTGAGGTAGGAGGATTGCTTGAGCTTGGGAGGTTGAAGCTGCAGTGAGCTGTGATTGCACTACTGCACTCCAGCCTGGGTGACAGAGGGAGACCCTATCTCACACACA